ACAGAATACCCACCCACATGCAACAACAAAACTGAAACCTTTTTCTTTTCTTGTGACAATAGCACCTCCTAAAGGAAGAAATGCATCTTGTTCTTGCATTGGAGAGTTCAGTTCGTAACCTAGGACTTGCTTGTCCTCAGTGCACAGAAATTAGATCAATCTGATACCATGCATATTTTTTTAGAAATGATTTGGAAAATATTTGAACACCTTGTCTTAAAATATTTTATTCATCATGTTAAAATAAAACGTTCCATAATCATTTTTTTTTCTTTTTTCAATGTTTCCAATTCTTTGGAAAAAAACCAAGGCTTCAGGAAAAAACCCTTTCCCCCCCCGAATTTTTCCTGTTTTCTTTCCGGGCCTTCACATCAAGGGCGAGGAGGGTGACCCGTGTGCGTGTTGGGGACCTGGGAAAAGGCACGGTTTGTATGGGGACGGAGGAGAAGTCTTGGTGAGGCTTCTTTATTCAGTTTCACCCACTGCTCAAAGCTCCGATATGCAGCTGAGCTGCAGCTTCTCCTTCTGGATGCTTGGCCCTGGGTCACGTGATGCCATAAGTATAATGTGCTCGATGATTTATGTAGCAATACAGAAAGTTCAAAGCATTTTTGTATGTTACTTAAGAACCTTCACATCAGACTCATAAAGTGCGTCAGGGTGACAATCTCCCTATCGCACATGGGACGTGGGTGTTGAAGGTGCATAACACAAGAAAATGAGGTGGCAGAGAAGGCAGCTATCGGTAAAATTCAGCTTTGAAGGTTATCTTGGCACAAGACTCACCACAAACAGAAACTTCATGCAACAGGGAGAAAAGTTCTGCCCTTTCCCTTTCTTTGCCGTGCTGCTGGTTCTCTGTCTTTAGGGAGTGTTTAACGCGGGAGCATTCAAAGAAGCAGTCTGGAGCGGGTTACCATTCTACCACCTCATTCTACTTCTTGTGCGAACTAGATCTTGGGGGGGGAGAGTGCCTTGCATGAGGCTGACTAGTGAGTTTGTTTTAGAGGTGTCACTGGAACTTGGTACTTGCTGGTTCACCGCTTAGTCTCTTATCTGCTGTGTAAGTATAATAATGAAACACGGCTTGTGTGTACGCAGAGTACACTTTTCTGAGTGATCTGAGCTAGCGCATACACATCCAGGGGCGCTGGTGTGGTGAGATTGTTGGACACCTGAGGTCAGATCTTTGCCCTGCCAGGAAGCTTGCTAGGTGGCTTCCTTAGACCAGCTTACCTCACAGGGTTGTGGGGACAAAATGGGGAGGGGAGAAACATATACATTGCTCTGGGCTCCTTAAGAGACAGAGTGTATATAAAAATTGACAGATGCATAGCTAGGATTAGGAAGAGATGCTCCCCAGTCAGGGTGCAGGACTTGATCACCATCTCTCTGTCATCAGAACATGGGCACTGGTTGAATAAAAAGTGTTTGCGCTTTCCGCCACCCCCTCAGCCGACTGTGGGTATCCGCTGAGCCTTCCCTGGTGCACCTTCGTGGGGAGAAAAGGTTGGTGCACTTCAAGAGAGGGAGACGTCCCTCGCTTGCCATGCCGAAGGAGCAAGTAACTGTGCGTCTCAGTGACAAGACAGCTGCTTTGGGGTTACTTTTACGGAAAACGTCTGGGCAAGGAAAGTTCTTCAGTTTCGCCTGTTGACTTTTCCCTTTCTCTTTTCCCATTTTTACTCAGAGCTCCGATTCTGACGACGAAGCCGGGGCATCAGGCCAGTCTGAAAGTAGGTATTCCATCTGGGTGAGTTCGTACACGCGGGAGGGTCCGTAGAAGCTTGGGTTTTGTGTGCCGATGCTGGCGGGGCCTCATCTGTCGAGGCCAAGGGCACCTGTGTAAATCTGAAAGAGCCGCTGTCATTCCCTTACCTCGGCCTGCTTTTGAGAGGCCGTCTGAAAGAGGCTGTGGTTAAAATAACTGGAAAGGCTATTCATTTCCAGAGGCTGAAAACTCCCAGACCTGCAGTTCTGATGCTTGAGTGCTTTCATTTCTCACTTAACAAGCAAGGAAACTGCTCATTTGCCCAGCTGGGGAAAGGGGGGGGTTCCCCCCACTGTGGCTTCTTTGTGCAGCCGAAAGATCCCATTTCAGCACTCAGCTGCGGGCAGAATTAAATTGGGGCTTGCGATTACCACTGAACATGTAGCACTCTATTCTCCGTAACGATCGGTCCCCGTAGACGCGATTCTAGCACAGTCTGCTGTTCAGTGGCAAGTCCCTCTTCAGCTAGCAGGTTTCCTTACCTGCTTTAATGATCGGTTCTCATTCCCTTGGGAAGGCGAGGGGCTTCCTTGAAAGCCGGGTGGGTAAGAATGTGACACAGGTAGGGTTAATTACCTGAAAAGCAGGGTAGGTTTTTATTAATTTTATTTATTTTTTCCACTTATACCCCACCCTACCCCGTGGAAGCAGGCTCAGGGCGGCTTACGCAAGATAAAATTCATAATCACACTCGAGGTTTCATAAAACATTGAAAAACATGTCAATTTAAAACAATACCATATTAAATATTAAAAGTGCTAGCTGTGTTCTTTGATATCACAACAATGGCAGTTTCTGTATAAATACATTCCATAATCGTTTAGATATTCCCATTAACTGATCATCTTCAGTATAATCAGCGCACTTAGGCTGTCGTTAAATGGCCAGGAACCAGGCTCTACAGGCTGTTATAGTTGTTAATAGTAGTTGTTAATAATGTTGGCAGCTCCTACTTGAAAGCTTGGTGGAAGAGCTCCGTCTCGCAGGCCCTGCGGAACACTAAAAAGTTAGCAAGTTCCCACTTCCGTTTGACAGAGAAGGGGATCCATCCGGAGGAAAGGAGGGTCCACGGTCTTTCGTCATTTGCGTTCAGGAGCAAGGGGAGGTAGCCAGCTTTTGGGCAGCAGGAGCTTCTCACGCAGGACTCGGGAGCAGAACCCAGGGCCCCACAGACCCACCTGGCTAACATTAAGGGCCTCTTTCTCTTGCCAGTGGATTTCCTACGGAACCTCTTCTCCCGGACGTTGGGTCTGGGCAGCGAGAAGCCCGAGAAGGTGCTGGATGAGCTGACGTTGGAGGGCGTGAGCAAGTTCATGCTGAGTGAGAAATGTAAGCCGGTTGTCCCACCTCTGTCCTTGACCCCCTTGGCTTCTTCTGGTGTGGGACGAGATCACCAGGCGAGCCGTTTGAATGTGGGACTCCCCGACTTCTGCCCGGCCCTCTAACTACTACACCAAGCTGTTTCTCCACAACAGTTATTTCCTAATAAGACTTGTTCCCATGAACAGTTGTGGAGCTGTTTACTCCGAGAACAGGGGAGTTAGAGAGCCCCATTGAGAGCCCAGGATGGTACAACAGAGACTTCAAGTCTCTGCATCGCACTGTTTCAGAACAGGGTTTTCCATTTCTGCTTTGTGTGAAGAATCCTTACGATGCTCAACTGTTAATATTTGCCTGAGAGGTTGATAGGCCAAGGTCACCCATTTCCCCAAGCATTGTCCACTGATTGCTGCTGTCTCTCTCGTTTTTAAGATGTTGTGGGGCAACTTGAAGGGGGTTGCCTGGTCTAGATTTCAAGGACTGGACGTTGAAAGTGTCTGTTTCTTTGGCAGGCAAGAAGGTAGTGTGCATGGTGGGAGCAGGGATCTCAACCGGTGAGTGTCACAGGGTACATGTTCCCTCTAGATCTGTGTCTGAAGGGAGGGAGGGGCGAGACTGGTCCTCAGGATGGCTGTGACCGTCTCCTCCGTGACGCACGCTGGAGGCGTTGAGGTTTCTTTGGTTGTTGCAGCGACGTCACCTCAAGGATAGAGATGTAAAATTTCCGGAAATTTTGAAGCTCGGAAAAAACCCCGGGTTTTTTCCGTTTTTTCCCCAGGAAAAAACAGAAATTTTCGGAAAAATTGAAAAAAATGCTACATTAGCATTTCTTTTGTCTTTTCTAGTTTGAAAGTCATTCTTTTACTTTAGGAACATAAAATATGACTATAGACATTTTTACTTGGCATGAAATTATCACAACTAGCATATTAAAAATATAGTGTATCCAAACAATTATTACAGAATACCCACCCACATGCAAAAACAAAACGGAAACCTTTTTCTTTTCTTGTGACAGTAGCACCTCCTAAAGGAAGAAATGCATCTTGTTCTTGCATTGGAGAGTTCAGTTTGTAACCTAGGACTTGCTTGTCAATCTGATACCATATATATATATTTTAGAAATGATTTGGAAAATATTTGAACACCTGGTCTTAAAATATTTTGTTCATCATGTTAAAATAAAAGGTTCCATAATCAATTTTTTTCTTTTCTTTTTTCAATTTTTCCAATTTTTCAGGGGGGAAAAAGGCTTCAGGGAAAAAATGGGGGAAAACCGTTTCCCCCCCGGATTTTTCCGGTTTTTTTCCGGGCCTTCACATCTCTACTCAAGGACTAAATAGAAAAGACCATTTTAAAAAGTCTTTTATCCATCTCTGCAGGGTTCATGGTACGGATAGAAGGACCTGGCTTCCGCTGGTCTGTCCAGAGCCCAGTACTGTCTGCTGGGCCTGGCCCCGACCATCTGAGGTCTCAGACAAAGGTCTTTTCCAGAGATCCTTTGCTCAGAGAAGCCAGGAATTGAACCTGGAACCTACTGCATGCAAAACGTGTGCTTTGTCCCTGAGTTCCGGCCCCCTCGAAGATACAGTCGCTGGGGACTGCACACTTAATCTGTGTCTGTGTGTGTGTTTAAACGGGAAAATGCAGCTGTCATTGTGGAATCTCTGAACATCAAATAGCACTCACCCCGTCCTTAAACAACCCCAGGAATTCCCAGTTCAGGGAGGATTCTTCAGAAGCGCATCAGATGCTTCCCCTACTGCGCAGATCTTCCCCAGTAACGTATGGCTACAGAGTAATGTAGGGTGTGTTCTAGGACATTCAGTTCAGACAAGAGCGGTGGCAAGGTCCCACAAGCCTGCGTGGCGTGAATGCGAGCCCCACTACCTGCCCCAGAAACTTCTGCCGCGTGATGGGGCTTCCTTCATTGGCGCGTCAGCATAGAAAATGTTGCTTATCGAATAGTTTCCCGTTTTTTAATGTTACTGTTATTTATTTATTTGTCTGTTTGTAAAAGCAGCTATGGGAGTTGTTTGAATGAATGCAATGAATGTGAACGTGAAATTAACATTACGCGTGTCTTTTTTAAGGGTATTAAAAAGCTATAAGCAGTAGAATATTAAGGATCTATAAATATATGAGTTGAGATTGATTAAGCAATATAAGAGGTTTGATTATGAGAATCTGTCAAGAAATTTGTGGATTTAAGGGACTAGATTTAATATGAAGTATGACCTAATTGTATAAGTAGCAATATTAATACAATGTAACAGACTTTGTAGAATTCACTGTAAGCGATATCCTTTTTCTTGAATCCCTTCCCTTTCCTTTTCTCTTGCCCGCTTTCCCTATTTCCTTCCCCTTTTAATAAAAAAGCCAATTTTTAAAAAGAAAATGTTGCTTATCAGGTGAAGGGATCTTACCTGGCCTGCTCCCCTTCCCTCTTTCAATCCGGTTTTGGTCTGAACTCGGATGAGTATAGATGCAACAGCAGATCCCAAATTCCCACTTCCTCCAGCTTAACTGGCACCAGCTGGGCTCTGGGTGTTGTGCTTGGGATCATCGGTAGAATTTCTCAGCCGCTCCGCCCACTGTCCCGTTTCTGCCTTGGTGCCTCCTAATCAAGTGCCCTTGTGCCGCACAGGTGCAGGGATCCCAGATTTCCGTTCCCCGGGCACGGGGCTCTACGCCAATCTGCAGCAGTACAACCTACCATACCCTGAAGCCATCTTTGAGATCAGCTACTTCAAGGTAGTATGCGGCAGTCTGGCAAGGGCCGGCTCTACTGCGCTCCAGCAAAAGCGGGTCTTTTGTCCAGCAAATAAGGTCTTTTTTTCTTTCTCTCTGTTTAGCAACACCCAGAGCCGTTCTTTGCCCTGGCCCGGGAGCTGTACCCAGGGCAGTTTAAGGTGAGTTTCGCATTCTTGTGCCCTTCAACATCACTTTGGATTTAGAGTGGCTGTCAGCAGTCAGGAACCTGAGTTCGACATGGTCACAGCCAATGCTCCCGCTAAGCGGTGGAGTCTTGTGAGCAAAAATTCTACTTGGTGAGCTACTGGCATTAAAGTTGTGAGTGAGCGATTTGGCCACTGCATCGATTAGTTTGCTCTGGAGCCGTCCTTCCTGAGCTGAGACAAAAATGTGTGAGCCGGAGGCTAAAAAGCTCACACTAACTCAGCTTAGAGGGAACACTGGTCACAGCCATAAACACCAACCTCTTTGTGGCTCTTAGGTGGTGGTGGTTTGTTTTGTTCTTTCTAATGTGTCGAAGTCTGTTGGGAGGCCGGTTTTTAAAGGGGGTTCTTCCATGTAAATTTACTTGCAGTACTGGGTCACAAACGGGTCGTGTTACTGGAACCTCCTCTCCCACCCAAACATTGCCATCTGCTGTGGCAGTGCGCTGGCCAAGACAGCTGGAACCACTGCTGATGTCGGCAAGGGAGGAGGGTGACTCTTGTTCTTCGTTTGGGGTTCATTTGTAAAGCTTTCTTGTTTGTTTATTTACGTCATTCATGGTCCGCCTTTCACACAGGGATTCAAGGTGGATTACGCATAGTGAGACAGTACAGTCGATAAAAGGGAACGTTCAGTAGCCAGTGCATTAGAATTTTAGAAGTCTGGAACCACCAGAAAGAACTGAAGCGTAGCATAGGTCTTCACGTGATACGTTAAAGTGGTACAGAAATTACATAAATAGGCTCCTACTTACAATAAGCTAAACGCGGCTGTATAGACTGCAGTTCTTAATCATTTATCCAAGCAAGTTTGTTCAGTGCAATCCTGAGAGCCAGACTGGTGTAGTGGTTAAAAGACTCTGATCTGGGAGAGCTGGGTTTGATTCCCTACTCCTCCACATGCAGCTGTTGGTGTGACCTTGGGTCAGTCATAAGTTCACTCAGAGCTGTTCTCTTAGGAGAAGTTTTCGAGAGAGCTCTCTCAGCCCCACCTACCTCACGGGGTGTCTGTTGTGGAGAGGGGAAGGGAAAGGAGATTGTAAGCCACTCTGAGACTCCTTTGGGTAGTGAAGGGCAGGGTAAAAATCCAACCTCTTCTCTTCTTCTCAGGAGCAGTCCTCGAGAGAGCTGTCTCAGCCCCGCCTACCCCACAGGGTGTCTGTCGTGGGGAGGGGCAGGGAAAGGGATTGGAAGCCGCTCTGAGACTCCTTCGGGGAGTGAAGGGCAGGGTATAAATCCAACCTCTTCTTCTTCATCATCTTCTATTTACTTGCACAGAAAAGCCCTCTTGAACAGTTCAGTTTTGCATAGTTTGCGGGAAGCCAGGAGGGTGGGAGCTTTCCTAACCTCCTCGGGCAAACCGTTCCACAAGGCAAGAGCCACAGCGAAGGAAGGACGCGTACGGCCAGTGTTCCCTCTAACCCGAGTGAGTGTAAGCCAGCTCACAGTTTTTTAGCCTATGGCTCACACATTTTTTGTCTCGGCTCAGGAAGGAGGGCTCCAGAGCAAACTTGTTTATGCAGTCGCCAGATCGCTCGCTCACAACTTTCATGCCAGCAGCTCACCAAGTACAATTTTTGCTCACAAGACTCCACAGCTTAGAGGGAGCGTTGCTCACCACGGAGGACTTTGGCATTTGTCGATTTTGGCTCTTTGCAGGTTAGCCCCTGCCGGAGGCCCCTGCCGACTTGAGCGCAGTTGTCGTGGCGGAGCATAGGGGGAGGGGCAGTCCTGCAGCCGAGAGGGGCCAAGGCCACGACCTGCGAAGGCCTCCGTCTCGAAGGCCTAAGTGGTGGGAAAGTGGGGTCTAAATCTTAAAGCCAGGACATTTCCTAGAGATGGAGGAGACGAGCGATCCCGCGTTCCGTTCCAGGCTCTTCACCTCAGCCCCTTCCAAGCAGTCCGCATTTTCAGCCCAGGCCCAGTTGCCCCCCCCCCCGCGCCTGCCACCTGCCTTCCTCTCAGAGCAAAGCGTCCTCACCCAAAGCTCTGCTCTTTTCCCAGCCCACCGTCTGCCACTACTTCATGCGCCTCCTGAAGGAGAAAGGGCTGCTGCTGCGTTGCTACACCCAGGTAGGTGGAATCCAGCCCTGCCCCTGGGTCAAGGTCACGCGCTGCTTGCCCACCTGAGGACGCTTGAGGCGAAGCCTTGGGTCTCCCTGGAAGCAACGCTGTGCAAGGCAGCTCGGGATGGATGGGGGAAGGGGAGGTGAAAGGTCAGCTTCCCAGAACTCTGCTTGGGTAGAAGCCCGGATGTGTTTCCTGTCGAGCAGTAAGCAAAAATATGAGGGGCAGTGGCTACAGTGAGCAGTTTGTTTCACGTAGCCAAGCTGCAGACGAGCAACCCCCTGAGCGTTCGCTTGTCATTCCTCACACACTTTTTTGCATGGGGGGGGCTGAGGGAGATTAATAAGAACATAAGAGCAGCCATGTTGTTTCAGGCCAGTGTCCTATCCAGTCCTACACTGTTGTCGCACAGTGGCCGAAACCCAGGAGCCCTCAGGAGGTCCCCCAATGGGGCCAGAACTCCAGAAGCCCTCCCACTGTGGCCCCCCAAGCACCAAGAAAACAGAGCATCCCTGCCCCAGACAGAGTGTTCCATCTACACCTTGTGGCTAATCGCCATTGATGGATGTCCGCTCCATATGTTTATCCAATCCCCTCTTGAAGCTGTCTCTATGCTTGTAGCCGCCATCACTTCCTGCAGTGAACTTCTGCATGTTAATCACTCTTTGGGTGACGAAGGACTTCCATGAATCTGTTCTAAGCCTACTGCTCATTAATTTCATGGAGTGCCCACGAGTCCTTGTATGGTGAAAAAGGAAGAATAGGAGTTCTTTCTCTACCTCCTCTATCCCATGCATATATTTCGCAAACCTCTATCACGTCACTCCCTCAATCATCGTTTCGGAGTCCAAAGGCCTGCATTGCCCGTCTCCAGATCAGTCCCAGGTCAGTTGTGCTGCAAATCAC